CAGTAACGTTGTGAAGGTCGCTTCCTCAGATGCGACTTCGATGGGAGATGCCACCTTACCGCAACGATAGCCCGATTGTAAATATTCAGCATACTCTCGACTCATCAGACTTGTACTGCAAAAGGCGTCGATGATTGTCCCCACACCTGGCAAATCACGCCTTGGTGATATGGAAGTGGCCAGAATTTGGTGTGAGAAACTCGGTTCTCTTCCTGCCACCTGGACCAACTCCCCTCGGTGAGCATACAGTCTCGAGCAAACTGTCCCTCTCTCCCACACCTATAGCATTGCAATGCCGAACACCATGCTCATGGACAGGGAGCGCTCTAATTTGGGTTGTGGAAGGTCTTGAAACGTGTAACCGCCTCAAGTTGCAACTGAATAGAGCCGTACTTGATCTGTCGGGCAAAAATTTCTTTACGGATCGCTTCTCGCAGCTCCACAATGAGCTGCAACTACAGCTGAAAGTCGTTGACCTTAGTCGATCCATCCTCCTCCTGGGTGGTTGTCACATAAATTCAAGAGATCAACTTCTGCAGATAATGGAGAAGATCCAGAAAACTCGCACAAAAAATTCCTCTACTGTCTCAACATTCTGAGACATAGCATTGAACTTTGTGTACTTTGTGTATAACTTAAAGTAGATAGAGAGTCTTTTCCTCCATAGGTTTCACTCTTTTTGAAGATAGGAAACTCTGAACTTTTTTGTAGTAGCTACGATAGTCCTCCTCCAACTTAGCCCTCGTGAGCTCAGAATGATACTGAGACTCAGCTAACCTCACCAGATCGGCAGCCCTCTTATCTTGGATGACTTGCCGTCGACCTGCAGACGACACTGGGTGATCTCAAGTCAGCAATAGTTGCCGATGACGATGTCGTTGACGATGAACGATGATCACGAATCTGAGTAATCTGAGTCACTACTGCTGTAGGCTGTGTCAGCTTATCAGTCAATGCCTCAATCTTCTCAGTAGAAGCATCAGACATTTCTCGACGAAATCCCCCAAATGTTGTAAGATTCGGGAGTCCCGAATCGGGACAGATATGAACTAAGTAGTGAGTCAAGTGCTCGAGATGAGTTGACACAACCAAGAGGGACCTTAGTATAAGTGATTAGATGAAGTAGTGAGGTTGAAGTGACCATAAGGAGCGCTAACAGCTTGAACAGCAACCAACTACGACAAGCCGCGGCTGGCAGCCGCACCGATTAGCTATAGATTAAATATAGCACGCAGGTACAAATGACTGCACAAGATCCTGCTACATGCGCACAGTGGGGACACAACCCGGATCTCGACAATTTCGGGCCGGCATGGGCTCGCATCGAGTCGAGGCTGTCGAACCGAGGTGGAAGAGGGACGTTCGCGGAGAGACAAATGCTGTCAGAGCGGACGTAACGCGGCTGACCCAATCTCCCGGCTCACGTTCGCGAGTTTTGCCCATACTCTAGACACTTGGAAATTTAATCGGAACACAATTTGTGTTACTCAAACCATATCGGTGCATCTATTCTCAGCGGAGGATGTGATCTGTGATAGATCATCTATCGCTTCTCCATGTGTACAGCGTATCCTTCCTGAGAGGGTAGTGGAGGCTCCTGGGCCAGCGTGCTCGAACCTTCCGATGAATTATGCAGGTACGGCCTCAATATTTCTGCCGAACTACAGAAGGTTTTTTGACACTACATACGAGTGCATAAGCAAATGATACGATGTGGTCTAGAAGACCTGGTCTACCGCTTCCTCTTCTTCAGGGAATCGTGCCCCTTTCTCATGCGAAGATACTGATAGCCGGCCCATTGCCATACTGCCACCTCGTCGACATTCGTGGTGGTGACGTCCATCAAGCTAGAATCATATCCTCCTCATTGATCAGTTATTGCTCTATCACATAACTCTACACCCTCTTCTTTAGGAACCATGAGAATTGCACACCGACGCGATTGTGCTAGGAACGGAAGAATGAACAACGATTATGAGAAGGATCGCAATAGAAATATTTACAGTCATCACGCGAGGGACACTTGTAGGTCATCCAAGGCATCAATCAACTGCCTTATGTCCATAATAGTCCTAGTAGGCTTAACACTATAACCGTCCTTCTTATACCCCGGCCTGGCCTTCTCAGTAATAAGCTCAGGCGTGGTCATAGGGCGATGCTTAGCATTCATCCAGATGGTCTTCAAGCCAACCTTAGTGGGACCGCATACGTCATTCAAGAAGTCATCACCGATGAACACCTAAGCAACATCATCATCATCACTCTACCTCTATCCTAAAGCCAGCCTACCGTCTCCTCTGGGGCGACCGGAGGTACAGCATTAGCCGCCTTGATTGCCTCCAAGTAAATCTCCGGCTTGTTACAATCAGCGTCAAGAGCATTGGCAGAGTAATCGAACAGTCCCCTAAGACAACCAGCAATCTACATCACATTCCCTCTTCCCTAAGCCTCAGCGAGGCAGCCTCCCTACTCTGCCTCTGGTATCCTATCTAAATCAGTAGTGCCGTTACTGACTGCACCCAGTAAGAGCTCGGGATACCTCTGTTTTATCGCACGCAACGTCACAATAGCTCCTTCGAACCAGGCCACTTCATGACGGGCAGATAACCACACCTACATCAGTGATTCGTGGAGCACTACTTCAAGGCGGCTACTGCTCACATCGAAAGATTCGTCACTTAGAGTTTTGGCCACGGATGCAATATCCTTATCATTCGCACTCTCCCCTTTCCGGATGAGATACTTCTTAATGATGTCCATGTACACAGACTGATAATAACATGAGGACATGACAATAGTATCGCTTCTTACCTTTCTTAGTTCACAGTAGTTCCAGTAAGGCCTGCGGCGCTCCCAATAGTCAACACTCCACTCGTTCCGCTTAGCCTCAATCAGTACCATCAAATCCTGCATACCACACCAACAACAACTCCCACATGCATGTTACTACATCCTAGCTTACATGATAGTTATTATAAGAATCCGCAATATCATCCAAACCCCATCGACGCATCAAAGACTGCCATTTCCTCTCGGCCACATCCAACGTCTTATCTAGATCCCACAAGGTATCATCTAGATCAAACAAGAGTAGCCTAATCG